ATAAATTTAAATAAAAGCATATTAAACTACTATGATAATATTGGGGATTGAACTTCATCTATCATTCTCTTTATATTTTGGCTTTAACACACATTGAACAAATACCAAAGTTCTATGATGCACTCTCATTAAATTCACTTGATGGATTCCTCTCACTCAAAATTCTAAGATATATTTATTGGATGATAATCCCTTACCTAAACAACAAATAATCCAGCACTAATATCAAGAGTTATATAGCATACAATAGATTAAAATCTATCCCTAAAGTCTCAACCTATTGCGTGTATTTACCCTCCAAGGTAGTTTTCCAACTCATCCCAGATTCTCAAATCATGAATCAATCCCCGTAGGGTAGAAATAAGCATTAATATCAAAATAAACACACCCAACTCATGGCAAATGAATAAATATATATTAAAAATACCAAAACATTCAAAGTATGAAGATCAAATCCAATCCCTAAAGTTCTAGTCATTCATGGCATACAAAACAACAAGAAAATATATTGGAAAGAGATAGAAATTAGTTCTCTAATGATATGGCTACTTTTCCACGCTTCTCCTCTTGCTTTGCACTCCAAAATTGGATTAATGATGTGCTAGGGCTTCAAAGCCCACTTCGACTCTCCATTTTCGAGTTAAATCTTCTGTTTTTGTAAGGCAATAAGTGAATTCTCACTCAAGCGAGCCAGTTTTCGCTCAAGTGAAAACTCTCAAAATACAAAATTACAACATTCATGCAAAACAAGCCTAAATCATTTCTATCAATGAGAAATGGTAAAAACTCTCAAAACAAGGCATATGAAGGGTGTGATGAAGACAATATAAAGCTATAAATGTAAACACCTCATCAAGCCTTTTCCCTTAAGAAAATTCACACAAGAAAAGTGGATCAAATATCTTATATTATTTGACAAAATTAAGGGTAAAGTTGTTAAATTTAAATGACACAACTTAAATGCATTAAAATATAAATTACATGAAATTTAAGTACAATCTATGTGAAAAGAAAGCAAATAAGTGTCAAAGTATACATTGACAACTACTAAAATATGACACTTATCAGTTTTGCATACTATTAGTCAAAGGTTAATTCCTTAACTTATTGACCCTAACATTCAACTAAATCACCCTATTTCTTTAGGCGAGATTTAATTTAATGTTGCATTATGAATTAGAACCTTAAGATTGCAAAAGTAAGATCACTTATCCCTAAGAAATAAATAAATTTGGTAATCAATTCAGATCTGAGAAACAAATCTAATTTCTATTGACAAAGACTCATCTTTTATTAATCAATTGAACTTTCATTCAAAGATTTACTTTAGTAAAAGAATTAACTACTCAATCCAATCAAACACTCAAAGTTTAGAGTGAAAAATCAAATCAATACATCCATTTCAAATCTATAAATTCCTAACAAAGAGGTTTAGAACAACATTACAATGAAAGAACGAAAAACAAGAGAAGAAGAGAATAAGGAGTAGAATAACATCTTCCAAGATCCAATCTTTACTCTGATTCCTCTAGAAATGAAGTTTGAAAGTGGTTCCTAATCCCTCTCTGGCTCTCCTTGAAAGTTAAAACAGTTGGAAAGTGAAAAATGACCAAAAAACTCCTAATTCTGAACTTTTAACAACTATTTATATTTTTTCCTGTCTTTTTCCATGTTAACACTTTTATCACTGAGAGTAATAACGTGGAAGGCCTTCCAGAAGCTTCTAAGGCTGAAGTAGGAACGCCAAACATCCAAAGTTGTCACTTAAAAGCGGTTTACAAAATTATGCTATTTTTGCATAAACACTTTTGGTAGCAAAAGTGTCCACGTGCATGTGTTTTGTGTGAATTTACCTTGCACGTAGCTACTTTCAGTAGCAATAATGGTTACGGGCAACTACTTTTAATAGCAAGAGTGTTTACGTGTAAGGTTTCTGGACGAATTAGCATTGGTTGTAACTATTTTCACTAGTAAGAGTCTTTGCGCACAAGACCCTTCATGAATTCAGTTGTTGGAGTGATAACTTTCAGCACTTAAAGTTGTTACGCAATTGATTTTCATGGATTTTCTTCTTCAAAGTGTTAACTATATGCACCCAAAGTTGTTATGCCCAACACATATCACTTGATTCTTGATCTTTTAAGCTCAATTCCTCTACTTTCTTTACTTTAATCTTCAACTTAAAAGTCTCCAGCTTAAGTTTTTGCACAAAATTAAGTCTTTTTAAGCAGAATTTTCCATAATTAAAATAAAATCTAAAATTTTAAACTATTTACACAATTATGAATATCAATGCAATTTTTATGGTATTTTTAAGTGTATTTAATATTTAAATACTTATTTACTAACAAAAACTAGGCTAAAATATAGTAAAATGTAGATTTACCACGTATCATTCACAAATTTAGAGTTTCAAATTTAGAGTTAGTTTCCTTATGCTGCGACTCCATGAGATCTAGAATGCAATTGACATCAATGGTAAGATCCTTTAAATGTGTATTCTTAGCCATTGAACGAGATGAAAACACCAATTGTTATGAATAAAGTTTTCAACAATAACAATTGCAATATAAGAGAGTGTAAGAAGTATAATGCCTCTATGTATTATTTTGCATTTATTTTCTTACAATGAAGTATAAAAGACTATTAAGAATAGCTATTAAGAGCATAAAAGAAAAGGAAATAAAGAAAGGAAATTCTAATGAAGAGCCAAGAGAAAATAGAAAAGAGAGATCAAAATCAATTCATCCATACTCTCTCTCCATAACTAAAATAGTTATATACTAGACTTGCCCACATATAGTTCTTTAGACAAAAGTTAGTTGTTTGATCCTCTCACTAGTTCTATTTCTCTGATCATTCACATCAGTTGTAAGATTAAATTAAAAAAACAAGAATTATAAAAATATTATGATGTGACACATTATCTTTCATTGAATTGGGTAAGGAGAAATCTTTGTAATTGTAGTGCTTTTGATAAGTTCCCTTATTTTAGTTAATAATAATTTATTTTTGATAATTAGTTTTCATATTTTAAAGATAATAAATGTATGCATTTTTCTTATTTCATAAAATAATAGACATTTATTAAAAAATTAATATAAATTATAACAAAGCTTTTAAATTAATTGCGAATTAATTTAATATTGTGATTAGTCAACCGATAAAGAGAAGAAGGGAGCGGAAAGCATAGTCGAAAGTAATGAAAATTAGGAAGTACAATGCTCATTGACGTTTTAGTTCCTTAATACGTTTGATTTGTGATCATGAAAATATCATTAAAAAAATATTAATATTGATCCTTAAAATTAAGTTTAACTTCAATGGTCAGGTAAGTTTGACTAAAATGATTGATTTGTTATAAATTTAGATGCTTTTTTTAAAAGTAATTTTAAAACTGAACTAATAAATATCCATAATTTTAAATATTAGATTGATAAATACTTATAATTTTAAGGGTTTAAAATGAGACATTACTTATAAAAAAATAAATTGATACTTAATTACTGCACTTCATATATTGTTTTAAATATAAATAAATAATTTTTTTAGATTTTATATTTATAAATATTTAAATTATATAAAATTTTGTGAATATAATTTTTATAATAATATTGTATAAATCAATAATTAAATCAATAAATTTTATTGTCATAAATAATATAAAAATATTGTTTTTTTAATTTGACAATATAAGTGATTTCGAATTTAAATCCTAACTTAAAAATAAATGTGTTATCGCTCGTTGGACTTGCATTTATCTTTGTCAATTGAAATGTCTATAAATAGGAGGAAATAATCTTAGATAAATACATTCGAATAAAAATATTAGAACCAATTGAATTGTGAATTTGCAATGTTAGAACCAAACCCCAATAGACCCAATCACCAATTGTAGCTGGAACCTTTTCCTTATAACTTTATACCATTGATTCCTTTTTAATTTGTTTAAAATAAAGAATAAAAGATTGATAAGTGATTTAATATTTCAATTTTTAAATATTGTGTATTATTTTAAGTGTAAAATAAATATTAAACTTCGTATTTTGTAATTTATAAGAGGTTGTCAATTTTTTTTTTTACTTTATACTGCTTTAACTTGTTCTTTTAAATGAATACTAAGCTATTAATATTATATTATGTTTTAAAGTGAATAATTTCTCATTTAAATTTAATATATTTATTATTTGAAATGTTGAAATTGTGCCATCAACAATATATGAAACTTTCATTTTTTTTATATTAATATAAATGCTAACTTGACTATCCAATCCATCCATGATTGAATTAATTTGAATCAAGTGAATTTTTTTATTTTTTTTATCAAAACTAACTGAATTTAACCCTAAAGTTTTATTGAATAACATATTTTTTATATCAAAACTCACCTAACTTGACTCATAAACACTCCTACTTCTTAACATGTATCTAAAATGTTTCTTTACATAAAATTCCTACGAAACCTTCTTACCTACATAAAAAAAGGCTTTTCTCTTTGAAATTCTAATTCTAATCCTAATCTCACATGAGGATTGATTGTTTTTTCAGCATAATTCATATTAAAACAAAAGCTTTTTGATAATTTGAAAGATAAAGTATATATGTGAAAGCACATTAAAAAGCTTCTCAAACGTAACTTGAAATATTAAAATAAATATAAATCCACCTACATTCTAACATTAAGTTTTCGTTTGCCCCCAACAACAATGTACTTACTATTTACATCACAAACCTTGTTCATAAGTTAGATATGCTTAATATTCAAGCGCTAGGCCCTTAAATTTTATAATTTACACTATTTTTTAATTGGCCCATTTAGTCCCAAAGTGGGTAAGAAATTTTGAGTCAGGGGTTCACTCGTAAGTTGTTGTATATTTTCAATTTTTCCATTTTTCAAAAATTAATGAATCCCACTGACCAAAAGATAAAGAATCAATGAATCAGTAATGACTAATCACAATTCTCAAAGACACATCCCAAATGTGATGGACCCATCGGTCTTAAATTCTCAATCGACTCTCCTTCTGCAACTCTCACTCTCACTCTCACTCGCTCGTTGTCTCGATTCTGGAACGATTCCATTGCGATTCTGAATTTGATCCTCGCAACTATCAGAGGTAAATGTTATATTGGTTAGTTGTTTTGTGATTCTGCTTGAGATGTCATTCTTAGTTGTTCATTGCATGATTTTGATTAGTTCCCTTTCAACATCTTGAAATCGAGCCAAGATGATTATGATAAAGTACATTAAAACCTTAACAAGTATCGTTGGAATGGGATTAGGTAGCATTTCATATTTTCGATTTCTCTCATCTCAGCATTTCTCATTCAATTCCCAGCACGGGTAAGTAACTACGAGCACAAGCTGCTACTATCAACCTGGAAGACCAAAATGTTACGAAAATCTGCACAATGAACTTAAATACAAATATTTTATGAAAAGTTGCTAGGTAACTCTCATTCGTAATTAGTTATGATATGTTAGTTAAGGGGCCTTTAGGCATTGGGATTGACCAGGGTCTCTCGAATACCCTGAATTGTATTAGAGAATGATACACATTTTCTCTCTTTTCTTCATCTGTTTTCTCTGTTGTTTCCTCTGTTTTGATCCTGTTCTAACTCTTATTGTTAAGTAATTCCCATTTGTAATTAGTTATGATATGATATGTTTGTTAGGGACTTATTAGTAGTTAGTTAGACTGAGTTAGTTAGTAGTTAGGTAGGCTGAGATTGAAGAAGAAATAAGGCATAATTGCTCCTGTAAATAAGAGGGAGGCAGAGAGAGATTATCACTGTCAATTGTGAAAGGATTGGGGCCTTTAGGTATTGGGATTGAACTCGGTCTCTCGAATACCGTGAGTTGTACAAGAGATAATACACATGTTGTCTCTTCTTCATCTATTTTCTCTATTGTTTCCTCTGTTTTGATCCAGTTCTAACAGAAATTATCATTTTTAGATGCATAAACTTTGAAACATTCACTTGCCTTATTCAGTTATTGCCCCCAGAATTTATTAATTTTGATGATTATTATCAGAATTAATTAAATAATTTATCGAAGTCCTATCTTGTTTAGTGCTAGGCATCAAAGATAATATCTTACCTTTTGCACATGTAGACCAGTTCACTTGTACACTTTGATTCTAAGATTGATTTAGTTTTTCGTCAGTAATATCTGTCATCTGATATTCATAAATGGTGGTCAATGGGACCCTGATTACTACATATTCAGGGATACTAATTTTTTAGCACCTAATTAGCGACTTTGTTTTGTTAAAGAGGAGCATAAAAAATATATATTTGAAAGACCAATTAACTGCATTCAAATGTATTTTACACGATATGTGTCTGCAGAAACATAACTGCCAATAAATATCTCAGGCTGGTCCTGGTTGCAAATTGCAATGGCTATTTGCTGTTCTGCACAATGTTGAAAAATATCTGTCAAGCCTCTTGCTGTGACCACACTATTGTCCTCTATTATTTGAGCTTCCTGGTAGTCTCTTGACATTGTCACTGCAAGGCTGGACCATGTTTTAGGACAAAATGCTGAAACAATGTTGGTGCTGTCTTTGAAGTACAGTAGGTGATTGTTGATTATCTTTTCTATGATATGATAAAAAGGCATTAGTTGATTTATGTATGTAAGTAACGTGCTTCATTCAATTTGCCATGGTCTAGTAGGAAACAAATCCGTTTTGAATTTTGGGTCGTGTTGTGGTGGTTTTTTTTTTTTTTATTATTCTTTTCCTTATAGAATTGAAAATTTGATTGCAGATTTGGAGAAGCAGAGAAGGCATTGAATTGCATTCAGAACAGCCCCATATATTAATTCCCTACTCTATTTCCAAGCTCAGGCTCTTCAAAGTCACCTCCACAAATGCAATGAAGCTTGGAAAATCAATGATTGGAAATCTATTAAAAGGAAACACAGGCTGCAATATCCTTAGGTGCTGATTTAGCTTCTCATTCCTCAAGTTAGTTTCCCTGGTCTAATGTTTTATTTTTTGAGGTTTCTTTCCAATGCCTTTTTCTTGTGTACTCATCCGACAGTCACTCAATGGCCTGTGTTAACTTTCTTATTATATATTGACTTTTTATTAGTGTTTAGTATATATTAACCTTTTATCTTTTCTATATATTTGCATTCTATAAATGCACTAGAAAAGAAAAAGGACAACTAAAGTTATGTTCAAAAGTTTTACAAAAATGATTTATCTTAATAGAAAGCATTAACATTTAATACAGATATAATTAATATGCTATGTTTCAAAAACTATATATTTTGATTTTTGAAATTTGTGCATGTTGCCTCTGTTTTTATCTTTCTTCACATAATTCTTAGTATCAAAGTATTTGAGAACATAGGTAAATTGATTGAGGAAATTACTTGCTGATCAAGCTTTCATGTGCAGATTCTAAAGGAGAACAAGGACAAGAAGGATGCGGAATTTAATGAAAGATTCAAGCCCAGTAAGTATTCAACAAGCATTTAGCAGAACCGTGATAATTTTTCTTCATGGTAGCTATTAGGACAACCATGGAACTTCTTGCTTTTTACAGAATTGAATGTGAATGTGATATAGTATGTGGCAGTGCTAACTGCTTTTATTTTATGCATACCTGCCCTTTTGAGACAGGCATTTATTAGGCTAGTTGTTTGACTTATGTTCAAAATGTTAAGTTTCTATTTTCCTAGATGGTTTTCCTTTCGTTGTTATTCCGGATTGAGTTTGACCTGAATATAATAATCACAAGACCACCTAAAGCTTTAGACTAAGACGACACCAAGTTTCTTGATAATTATGAAGCTGTGAGTTCTGGTTTTATTTTTACAACATTTAATGAAGAGATATAACTTTGAAGGAGAAGGGTTGTATTAGGCCTCCAGCAGCCAATGTAAAACTTGTCAAAACATTTTATATGGATTACACACAACGATATTGTACTAGGATTAGGTCGTTACTCGAAAGTAGCGTGCTGTATGACTTGAGTACAGTGTCAAATGAGTTAGAGCTGTTGCGTCGGCACCCTAGATGTAGTGGTAAATGAGCAAGGGTCCTCACATTTGGTTGGATGAATGTGGGTATAAAAGTTAGTTCAGGAACAAGTGTTTAGGTTTAGTTCATGGAATATTGGTACTTTAACAAGAAAGTCATTAGAAGTGGGGTGGACACTATGATTCATAGAAAGATTAACATCATGTGCCTTCAGGAAACAAAATGGGTTGAAAATAAAGCTAAGGAGCTCGATACTACAGGTTTCAAACTTTAATACATAGGAAAAATCAATGGAAAAAACAAAGTAGGTATAGTTGTGGATAATAATCAAAAGGATTGGAGATAAGATTATGGCCTTGAAGTTATTAGTTGTACAAAACACTATTAATATCATTAGTGTTTATGCTCCACAAGTTGGCTCAGAAGTCCACTTGAAAGCAAAGTTTTGGGAGGATTTAGAGGGGTTGAGCCAAGACATCCCACAAATTGAAAAGATTGTCATAGGTGGGGACTTTAATTGACATGTTGGCTGTGAAGTAAGATAATTTGAAAGGGCTCATAATGGTTTTAATTTTAGAGAGTTAAACGAGGAAGGAAAATTTATCATTGATTTCTCAATGTCTTAAGACTTCAAGGTTATGAACACTTATTTTAAGAAGAGGGTGATACATCTCATCACTTTTAAGAGCAGAGTTTCAAGGTTGCAAATTGATTTTTACCTAGTGAAGAATCTAGACAAAGGAATTTGCAAGGATTTTGAGTCTTACTACACAACATAGGATTTTGGTCCTTGATGTTTCTTTTAAGACTAGTAAACAGAGACTTTGGCAAGTTATTGTCCCAAGAATTAAGTTGTGACTTGTGGCTACTTAAGGGTGAGAAACTATTGAACTTTTAGAGGCAATTAGTAGAAAAGGGTAATTGGTCAACACAAGATAGTGCTAGCATCATTTGAGACAATATAGCTACAAGGGTCAGAAAAGTTGCTAAGAAATTTTAGGTGAATCTAGAGGTTTTAGACCAAAAGACAAAAAATCATAGTGGTTGAATGAAAGTGTGCAAGAGAAAATTAGAGAGAAGAGAATGTGTTTTAAAACTTTGTATACATGTAATAATGCTGAAAATTGAGCAAGGTTTCAGAAGGTAAGAAATGAGACAAGAAAAGTAGTGAGTGAATGAAGCATGTTCTAAAACTTTTGAAGGGTTCTATTAAGTTCTTGGAACAAAGTATGAGTAAAAGAGGATTTATAAACTTTCCAAAAATAGAGAAAGAAAATCTAGAGATTTGGACTAAGTTAGATGTATTAAAGATGAAGAAGGAAAAGTTTTGGTTTCAGATCAAGCATCAAAGATTAATGGGAGAAATATTTCTATAAACTCTTAACGAGGGATAAGGAACAAGTGGAAATTTAACAGGATAAGAAGTGCAAGTGAATGAGCTAAATTTGACACACTACCGTAGGATTCAAGTTGGAAAAGTAAAAGAAGCTCTTAAGAGGATGAAGAATGGTAAAGTGGTTGGCCTTGATAATATATCTCTATAGAAGTTTGGAAAAGTTTGGGAAAACAAGAAGTACAGTGACTCACTAAACTCTTTAATGAGATTTTGAGATCTAAAAATATGTCAGATGAATGGAGGAAGAACACTTTGGTTCCTACCTACAAGAATAAGGGTGATGTCCAAACTTGTGCGAACTATAAAGAAATAAAACTCATGAGTCACACTATGAAGTTGTGGGAAAAAGTGATTGAATATAGAGTACAGGAGGAAACTGAGATTGTAGAAAATCAATTTGGTTTTATGCTAGGAAGGTCTATAATAGAAACTACATATCTTTTATGAAGATGATGGAAAAATATTGCTACAAGGAAAAGGCTTACACATGGTTTTTATTAACATGGAAAAAGCATATGATTGAGTACCTAAGGAAAGGGGTCTGTGTAGCAGCATATATTCGGACTATACAAGACATGTATTAAGGGGTAACTACATGTGTGAAAACTTCTGAAGCGGTATCTAAGGACTTCTCAATTAGACTAGGTTTACATCAAGGTTCTGCTTTGATGTAAACCTATTCTAATTGAGAAGTCTTTACAAATGACATACAAAATATTATCTCTCAGTGCATACAATTTGCAAATGATATAGTGTTGGTCGAGGATTCAAAAAAGGTTAGTGTTAAACTTGAGTTATGGAGGGAGACTTTAAGGGTTTTTGCTTGAATAAAAGTCTGACAGAATCATGGTAGTTAGAATCGCATGATTCACGATTCGATACATGCGATTCCATGCAGTTCCGCATCTGAAAGATACAAATCGTAGGGAGTATCGCGTTTGTTCTAGAATCGCAGCTTGAATAGCCTGAATCGCACGAATCGGTGCGAAATCGGGATTCTCATCCACAAAGCATGATTCTGCTGCAGACCGGGTCACACATGACCTGATTCAGTTGTGTTGCTTCCTCTGCATGTTTGTGTGACTGGGTAGGTACTGGGTTCTCTTCTCTGCCTCTATTTCTTCTGTGTTGGTTGTTGCTGTACTTGCAAATTTGAGTTGCTCTTGGGTGTTGGTCACTGTGCTTGTGAGTTTACCTTGGGTGTTTGAATGCGAACCTCTTCGTTCTCACTTGTAGACTCCATTTTGTTTATTGTTATGCATCTTTGTTTTTTATTCTTTTTTTTAGTTGCATGTTTTCTAGTCCTTTTTTTTTTGTTAGCATTTGTGTAGCTAGGCCATGTGAATAGCTTAGACATTGCAAAGTGTGGGCTAGGCCTTGTGAATAGTTTATACATAGATACTGTAGAAAAATTCTTTTCTTTTTCCTTTTTTTTTAATAAAAACTTATATTATTTAAATAAATGAATAAAATTGTATTTTTTATAGAGTTATAATTTTTATGAGTTATGATATATATTTCTAATTAAATTTTATTAAATGTTATTTATGATTTTAAGGTTCGTTTATTTATTTATGATATTTTATATGTATATATATATATATATATATATATATTATTTATTTAAATATAATTTTATATTTTAAGTAAGATCTTACATTTTATGTTATGATCCTCCAATATATATAATTTATATAGTAACAACCTTTTTTTGGTGTCATTTTGGTTGATGTGACTTGAATTTTTGTACTATGTTTTATTTTATTAGTTATATAACGAAATATTTGACTATAAAATATTAATATATGGATGAATTTAATTTTTCTTTATATTAGAATACTTTTTATTATATTTTTAGCAATGATCATGATCTTACGATTCACGATTCAAAAAATAGTTCTTTAGATTCATGATTCGAATCTCGATTTAACTACATGGACAAAATACATGCATTGTAGGTTTAGGAAAAAACAAGATGAGAATCATGCGTTGAAAGTTTAACTTTGAGGTGATATTATATTACAAGTTCCCAATTTTAGGTACTTGGGATCGATTGTACAAAATGATGAGGAAATTAATGATGTTAGTCACAAATACAAGCTGGGTGGTTAAAATGGAGAAAAACTTCAGGAGTTATTTGTGACTATAAAGTACTTATCAAGTTAAAAAGAAAGTTTTACCGTACTGCAATATGGCCAGTGCTATTCTATGTGGCAGTGAATGTTGGACCTTAAAGGAACAACATGAGAAAAAAGTGAGAGTGGTAGAAATGAGAATGCTAAGGTGGATGAGTGGATACACGAGAAAAGACAGGATATAAAATGATAGAATATAAGAGAATATTGGAGTATCACATATAGTGGTAAAGATAATTGAAAATCATCTAAGATGGTTTGGTCATGTGTAGAAAAGACTTTTAGAGGTGCTGGTAAGGAGAGTGAATTGCATAACTCTTATTCCATTAAAGAGGGGTCGAGGGAGAGTGAAAAGAACTTTAGACAAAGTTATTAAAAGAGATCTTTTAATTAACTAGATTTTTGAAATTTTGATTTTTGACCGAACTTAATGGCGTCATGTGATCCATGTAGACAACCTCACCTAGTGAGATAAGGCTTGGTATATTTCTTAAAGAAATTATTTTTGTAATTGCTAATTCTGAATATTTCAATTCATGTATGTGTATGTATGAATGTGTTTCTTTTATAGTCGGCTGACCCTATAGGATAGGCTTTTTCTTTGTTTGTTCAACTATGATGAAATTAATGTCTCAACGAGACAGCCCAATGACACATCCAATAATGAAGAGTAAAAACATCTCCAAAAGTGTGATACTACTTAAAAAATAAAAACACTACAAAACATAGCACTTTGCTCAAAAGACATTCCAAACAAAATGTCAAACTAAAAAACTAAGAGAAGCAAGTAGAGAACTTATTCTCATTGCAAAACCAAGACCAACTTTGTTTTCACAGACAAACAACTGTTAAAAAAAAGCTTTTTTTTTCATTGCCTCTTCTTTTTGCTGTATCTTGACGTAGCCAGCTCTGCCTGTACAAATTTGCTTCAAATCTGAAAAGCTTCAAAGGCCATAGAAAGCACAATGGGTCACACCAAAGTCAATCAATGCTAACTTGAGAAAGAGATTGGAGAAGAACCTCTCAAATAACAGTGATTGATTAAAGGATGAGAGAAAGTAATAAGAAATGTAGGTTGTAGCTTGAAAGTGAAACAAAATAGAATGTGTGAAGAAAGATGGAGAAAGAAGATAATGGGTAAAAAACAAAAAACTTTCATTAATGAGAAAAGAAAACATCTATAATGGAAGGTAAATTCTCTTAGGAAGAGAGGATCCCCCTCTTGAAGGTGGGAGACGAAGGGTGATGGCTGCAAACTACAAAGGAGAAGAAAATTAGCGTTGAGAGGAGGAGAGGAGAACCATAGGATAGGCTAGGATCTGCCAATTTGAGAAGTTGGTCAAAATGGTATTTTCAAAGTGGGCTGGCCCTGGCCTAGTAGGCCCTATGGGCCCTTTGGCCCTGTGGGCTTTTAAGCCCCAGCCCATGCTGCACATGGGTCAGGGCTAAATGGGTTAGGTCTGGTCCATTTGACACCTCTAACTTTATACTAAAATTGTTACTACTAGTATGTTTGGATTCTAGTGTGGTTGTATTCGCATTTCAATGTCTATGGATCCATATTTACTTCAATGCTATTAGTTGAATTTTCTGCCTTAGATTTACCTTTACAAATTTTTCAACATGATACGTGACGTGATTTTGTGAATCTTTGACACCCTAATGATATTACTCATGCAGTCATTTATCTTTTTTTTTTTTAATAGAAAGAATTGCCTCTTCCAGTGCGGTTGGACATTCTGAAAGGTGCCTCAACTAACTATCTTATGACATGTTTGGCTCAATTTATATTTAGAGAAATAATTGCTTTTTTTTCAACCTGGAGGAAATAAGTGATTATTTCTCCAAATTGACCTGAAATTGCTTCATAGTTAGTTATAGCTACCCATTATTTCTATTAATTCTGAGTGGAGTACTACACAGGAATCAGTAATCAGAATTTGGCTGGCAAAGGCAGCAGTTCTTCATTTGAGGCATGTCTTTGGGTTCCCACTAGTCTTTTCACTGGTTTATTGTTTCGATATACAACTAACTACTTAGGTGGAAAAACAATTATTGTTGTTGTGATCAGATACCTCTTGAAGATGAGATTGAAATGCCCAATTTCGAGGAGGGAAACTTCAGTGATGTATCGGGAGATGTCGTTGCTAATTCAACTGATGAAGAAATCAATTCTGCTGATGAGGTACTGATTAAAGTCCACATACAATATTATCCTTCTAATCTTTCAGCCATCTATTGAGTATAATACATCAAATTGGTAGTTGAAATTGGCACCACTAGTCAATTTTTCTATTTTTGTTTCATCCCAACTCAATATAATTCTTGTAATTCCTAATTTAGATGGTCTAAAATCATTTAGAATAATTTTGGTAAGTAATCTCTACTAAAAATTGGGTTACCTTATTATTATGTTACTCAATTCTTCCTTAATTCATGTCTTTTTCGGGTAAATTTTGCTAAGTGTGTTTTAGTTTCTAACTTTTCATATATTATTTAATTTTAATTTATTTAAATTGATATGATTAATAATTAATTTAGAAGTAGTGAAATTTTGGGGTGTTACACAAATCATGCAAAAAGATCAATCAAACCAAATATCAAGAATTTATCAACTCTTCAAAGAAGTAGAGGGTAAGGGATGTCTTCGACTCAAACACAATTCTTTATTGCTGCTCTTGGGGATTTTTGGATGTTAAAGCGAAAGTGAAGAGAGATATGCCTTTTTAACTTGGTTTGGTCGAGAATGACACATAAAAAGGGACTTCGTCTTTGTTGCTTAATTGGACACGAAACAAATTAGACTTGAGCTTTAAATGTTGATGTGTGTTTTGGACATAGGTAGGTGACCTACGTATTTTCCTTAGCCAATTTGATTTCCAATTCCTATTGAATTGTGCCTAATCCTTTACGTCAATTGCTAAAGCTAAATCAACTTTAAACTTATTGAATTGCTACTTAGTTCTATGTTAATTTAAGGCCTACATGGTTCATTGACTTACTATTCCAAGTCTTCTAGCTATTAATTACCTGATATCTTGATTTCTAAGCATATACCTTGGTCATAATTACATTATGCTTTGATTCTTAAGCATATTCCTTGTATTAATTACCTTATGCTTTGATACCTAAGCATATTCTTTGTATTAATTACTTATATTTTGATTTCTAGGCATACTTTTTGCCTTAACCAATTGGATGTTGATTTGTCCTTCACTTGTTCATTCAATTTCATTAAAATTTCCTAATCTTTTAGCTTGCTAGAATTCACGTCAATCCTCCTTGGAACATTCTAACTTTATCTTTCAAATTCAAATTAAATCCTATACAATTTAGTAAACCTCACACTATCCTTTTCTATTTATCAACTTTACTAATAAGTCCATTTAATTCAAGGATAAAATTCTAATGGGTATTGTCTCTAAAATAAAAAAAATTCTTTTGGTAATTTAGTCCTGTAAAAATCACCTAAGAGATATAATTCTTCCTCCTCAAGTTGTTTCTTAATAATTGTCTGAAAGCAAAGAAAAAATCCTTTCTTAATAAAAATTACTAAAAGAATAATAATTGCAAAATTTGAGGATGTTACATACTTGGTTATTCTTAACGAAAGATTGTTTTGATGTTTTCTCTGTATTTCAAGATTTTTCATTTGAAATTTAAAATCATTTGGTTCATCTATTACAATTTTATGCACTAATAATGCTCGTGAAGATGTCTTCCTAGTTCCAATCTTTTTTTGACTTCCTAGGAAATTATTCATCAGACCTCTTGCTTGCATACACCACAGCAGAATGATGTTATTGAATGAAATAATCGCCACTTGGTCAAAATGACTTGTACTCTTCTTCAGCACAATGTTCTGCTTCGTTATTTGGGGAGATACTCTTCTCATGGCATTTTATTTGATCAATCACTTGCCTTCTTTTGTACTTCAAAACTAGGTTCCCTACTTTCTTTTATATCCTAATCAAAATATTTACTCTATTCCACTTTGTATCTTAGTTGCACTTGCTTTGTCTATGATCTCATTGCAGGTAAAGACAAACTCTGCCAAATCTTTCAAGTGTGTTTTTCTGGGTTATTCACATTTCCAAAAAGGCTATTGTTGTTTTTGTCCTCCACTTCATTGCTATTTGATTTCAACTAATGTCACAATTTTGAAACTACCCCTTTCTTCTCTATTCTTGATGTCAATTTCAAAGCGGATCCTCCTGCTATTCCTTCTATTGTTCCAACCCTTGTCCTTGCTTCTTCTCCACTTCCTTTGCTTACTTCCCAGCAGCAGTCTTAGGTTCTAACAGTTCCCACCTCCTCTGTCCTCCAGCCTCATCTCCAATTCCAATTGCCCCTTTCATCCATGCTGCTTGCACCGAAACTTCCACTATGAAAAGTATTTGGTGTCCCCTCATAATCTGATTCCTCTTTATGTTTGTGTTTTTAACTATGATCGATTATCTCCGTCCTATTTTCCTTTGTCTCTTCTTTGGATTCTTTCTCTATTCCTAAGTATATAGGTGAAGCTATGACTGATCATCACTGATGTCAGGCAATGGCGGATGAGATGATTGTTTTGCATTCTAGTGACAATTGAGATCTTGTTCTCTTACCACCTGCTAAGACCACTGTTGGCTGTCGTTGGGTTTATACACACAAGTCTTTGGTAGTTGATCATGGGAATTGACAAAACTAGTTGATATTTACCCATATATGACTTTCTCTCTAACAAAGTGGCAATCAATTTTAATGTGTTTTATCCTCTCATCTCATGGAATACTGAATTTGAGGCAATATACATGGCAGCCTGGTTATCTCATATAAGTGAGAGAGGAAATATTGAGAGTGAATCCGTGTGTTTTGAGCATAGGGGAGCTATTCAATTTTATAGGGAAAAGTACATAATTACAAAATACACAGTTGCTATATTTACAAGATTCTAATATTTATAAGATTCTAATAGATTCTAACACTCTCCCTCAAGTTAGAGCATATAGGTCATATGCACCAAACTTGTTACATATGTAGTTAATCTGAGGACCCCTTAGTGACAGTAAAGATATCTGCTAGTTGATCATGGGAATTGACAAAACTAGTTGATATTTCCCCATACATGACTTTCTCTCTGACAAAGTGGCAACCAATTTCAATGTGTTTAGTCTTCTCATGGAATATTGGATTTGAGGCAATATGCATGGCAACCTGGTTGAGAGAGAAAATATTGAGAGAATGAATCCTTGTGTTTTGAGCACAACGGAACTATTCAATTTTATAGGGAAAAGTACATAATTATAAAATATACAGCTACTATATTTACAAGATTCTAATAGATTCTAACATTCATCATTGGCCTCTTCATCAACTTGATATTAAGAATGCCTTCTTGCATGGAACAACTTCCAAGGTTTACTGTTCCTGGTTAGTCTCATCTTGTTTATCTCTCCATTTTTTGAAACAGTTCCTTCATGCTTGGTTCAGACATTTTAGCTCTGCCTACAATTTGACATGACTAGATATAAAGCTGATTATTCTGTCTTCTCCATTCATTGTATCTGACCAATGCATTTATCTGGCTGTTTATGTTGATGATATTGTCATTATTGGTGACGATTCTGATGGCATCTAGTGACTCAAAGACCACTTACTTAGCCAATTTTAGACAAAGGATTTGGGCCCTCTCAAATACTTCTTTGGTACATAAAAAATGCACCAGGACGAGGGCTATTATATAAAGATAACGGCAATGCCAAAATCACTTGTTATTTTGATGCTGATTGGGTAGGATCTCCATCGGATAGAAGTGGAATCCACCTCTGGATATTGTGTTCTAATTGGAGGGAATTTGATTTCTTGGAGGAGTAAAAAGAAAAATATAGTTGCTTAGTCCAATGCCAACGTTGAATATAGTTGCATCTGAACTTACATGGCTTATGCAATTACTTCAATAGTAAAATTAGAATTGTAATTTAGGGATCAATATGATTGAGTGCACAGTTGTTAAAATCAAGAGTTGAATCGTAAAATTGCACGATTTGGAGGCCAGAATGATTCAAATCCCAGCAAAAATCATTCCCAGGTGAAATTGTAGTGAAATTGGGAGTTAAATCGTAAAATTGAGATTTCACAACAATTTCATGAAACAATTTCAAATGGCCAGACTTATATTTTTGTTCAAACCCTAAGTGTCAACATCCTAACCTAGTTGTGCCTCCTTTTCTTTCTTGCTTGAACTCTTGTCGACATTCGTGAAACAATTTCAAATGGCCCGACTTATATTTTTGTTCAAACCCTAAGTGTCAACATCCTAACCTAGTTGTGCCTCCTTTTCTTTCTTGCTTGAACTCTTGTCGACATTGGTGACTTAAACTAGTTCGATGTCTGTGGCCGATGATGATTTTGTCTTCTGCACGAACTTTTGGTGTTTTGTTTGCTCCACTCTTGCTATGTTCTACTCTTTGGTTTTCTTCTCATCTTGCTCTGTTTTTCTTATCTTGTCCAAGTCTGAAAATGCCTTGTAACTTGTCAAAAACATGGTGTTTTGTTCTGTTTTGGGTTGCTACTATATGGATTATGCATGACAGTTTTATGGAATATGGATTATGACCTATCAATGCAAGTTTATTTAAGTGCTTTTACTGAGTTAATGTTTTTTTTTTAAGAAAATTATGCATAATAATATGAATTTGTATCCATGTTTTTGTAAAATTTTATAATTTACAATTTTCACTCCCCTTTATGATTTGAATTGAAATTCCGATTTTAAATACCTTGATTTGGTGTGTATCTTTTAGGAACTGATTTGACTATTGACTCTGTTTGTTTACATATGTAAGGCTAAAACTGTCCTATCCACCAGACAGTTCCCCAGCTATGGTCCTCAATGTATCAGAAATGAACAAGTTAGTGATACAAGAAGAAATTCTGAAGCATTGTTACGTTCCAAAGGCAGTGCTTCATATTCAGCATCCCATTCTACCTGCTCCAAAACAAATACATCTGGTACCTGCTTCAAATAAAATGCATGTTTTTGGATTAAAACATGAACTACTTGCAATTCCCTGAGAAATTGAAAATTGTTTTTAGTGGGGACTGTGGGGTATATTGTAAAACCTCAGTCTTTCAGATTTCTTGATTGTCCCATGTCATCACATCCCTATATTGGATACAGGTTTTATAATACCATTCATTAATTATTCCGTTCTTCATGCTACATTTATTTCATGTTCGGTAAAAGAATGCATACTTTGAAATGGAGTAAGCTCTTTCTTTCTAGAAATACATTCAATCAGAATTTGAATCAATGAACTTATCTCCTAACTCCTATCTCTAACTGATAAGATGGCTGAAGTCTTGGCCTTTAGTTGCAACCTAAACATTTATATAGAGAGGTAACTGATTGAAAAATTTAATGTTTTCTTATCTAGGCCATAATTTGTTTCTTTTACTAATTATCAATTTCTGGGTACCATCTCCTCTTGCTGGGCAAACTCTTAATATTTGTAAAAGTTCTAAATAAGAATATAAATTTTTGCAGTTTATTTGTTAAATTTATTAAGAGATGCAAAGTTTGGATTTGGAATATCTCAAGGACTTCTTGACCTTCCCCAGAAAAGGGAGAGGTACATGGGGAATACTTTCTGTTTGAGCTTAATAATTTTCTCATGACTTTTTTTAATCTGTTTATACGTGTTATAAGAAAAAGGTCATAGAATTCATAACATGTTTCATGATGGAATAGGATACTGTTTTTGCAAATGTTCTCATATTTTGACAGAAAAGTGATAGATAAAACAGAACTTATTCCTAACAAACACAACTAACTCTGTACAGTTGTACAGTTGTATTAGATAGTTAGCAGTTGCAACTGAGATGCCTCTCTCTGCTTTCATCTTACCACTAACTACCAACTATCTGTTAATACTGTACAAAGTTAGTTATGTTTGTTAGGAATAAGTGCTCCTGTCAGGAATAATTTGGTTTTTGACCGAGCTTAATGGTGTTGTGTGAACGATTACGAAGACCTAACTTAGGAAGATCTGAAAAGAGAACTGCTGGAGAGATATGGAGGTAGAGGCGAGGAAGCATCTACAACCAATTGGCATCGTTACATCAAACGGGAAACATGGATGACTACATTCGAAGCTTCGAATGTTTGATCACTCAAGTACCAAAGCTGCACGATGATTAGTGTTTCTCTTATTTCACCCAAGGCCTCAAGGATGACATCAGAGCAAGAATGAGGAGTGTGCACATGGCGAGTCCTCTGACACAAGGCAGAATGATGAGCGTGGCAAGAGCCATAGATGCTGAATTTTCTGGGCGCAGCAGATTGTGGCAAGGAAGGGGAGACACACATGGAGATTGGAAAACCCATCCAGGAAACCGACCCGTTTCCAATATTTCGGGTAGACCCGCCCTACGTCAGAATAGTGGAAGCTGGGGGGCAATGGGCCAGGCCCAAGTGCAAAAGAAGAAGGGGGTGATAAAAGCAAAAACGGGCCAAGAAACAGAGGTGTACACCATCTCTCTTACCAAGACCTTCTGGACAGGAAAAAACGTGGGTTGTGTTACAAGTGTGGTGGGTCTTATGGCCCGCTTCACCAATGCCCGATTAAGTAGCTCTGGGTCATTTTGATGGAAGATGATTTACGGGTCAAATGTGAGGATGAAGAGACGCAAACAAGAGAAAGCTTTGGTGAAGAAGAGACAGACTCAGATGGAGCTTGCACTGCCATCAGCTTGCAGGCAATGATGAAAAGGAGAGGATCCTCTGAGGACGATGAAGATACAAGGGAAAGTGGGTGAGTTCCCTTTGTTAATTTTGGTCAATAGTGGTGCGTCCCATAATTTTTTTTCTCGTAAATTGGTTGATGCTTTGGGTTGGAGTTGGGAAAAAACACGAAGCATGAATATTTTAATGGGAGATGGTCATCAAACTGAGACACAAGAAGTATGTAGAGGAATTACAGTGGAGCTGGATGAAGGGGAATTCCTGATTGATTCTTTTCTGTTTGATCTTGAAGATATGGACATGATTCTGGGCATGGCATGGCTCACTACTTTAGGAGAAATGGTGGTTGACTGAAAGAAGCAAGTGATGAAAGTAACCACTCCACAGGGAACCAAAAATATTGAGAGGAGTTCCACTTGAAGAGTCATTGTCGACTTCAGTTTTTGGGTTGTTAGAAGAAAGCAAAAAACAAGGAGTCGGGACTCACATTAGAACAAAAGCGGGCATTGGAAGCAATATTATAGGAATTTGATGACGTATTTGAGGAACCCAAAGGATTACCACCGGTGCGTGCTAAAGAACACAAGATAAATCTGAAACCGGGACAGGAAGCTATCAATGTAAGGCCATATAGGTATCCCTATCATCAGAAAAATGAAATAGAAAGGCAAGTGAGGGAGCTGATGGAGGTGGGTCACATTAGGCCCAGCCAAAGTGCATTTTCCAGCTCAGTTATTTTGGTGAAAAAGAAAAATAATAAGTGGCGTATGTGTGTTGATTATAGGGCCTTAAACAAGGCTACAATTCTAGATAAGTTCCCAGTTCCAGTAATAGAAGAACTACTAGATGAGCTGCATGGATCTCGTTATTTTTCAAACTTGGACCTTTGCTCCGGTTACCATCAAGTGAGGATGAGGGAGGAAGATATACCAAAAACCGTGTTTAGAACCCATGAGGGGCATTACAAATATCTTGTTATGCCATTTGGGCTCATGAATGCTCCATCTACATTCCAAGCCCTCATGAACGAGGTATTTCGTGCTTTGCTAAGAAAAGGAGTATTGGTTTTCTTTATAATATACTCATGTATAGCAAAGAATGGGAAGAACATATGCAGCTGTTGACTATGGTGTTGGAGATTTTGAGGGAAAACGTGTTGTTTGCTAATAAGGAGAAATGTTCTTTTGGTCAAGAGAGCATAGAGTATCTTGGCCATATTATTTCTAGTCAAAGTGTAGCTGTTGATCCATCAAAAGTGAGGAGTGGCCTGTGCCAAAGAATGTCAAGGGAGTGCGTGGATTCTTGGGCCTAACCGGGTACTATCAGAAATTCATTAAATATTACGTAAAATAGCAAAACCTCTCACTGAATTGACCAAGAAAGACAATTTTGGGTGAAGTAACAAAACTCAAGCAACTTTTGATGAACTCAAGAGGACAATCACTACAGCTCCCGTTCTGAATTTGCCAAATTTTGAAGAGGAATTTGTATTGGAATGTGATGTGTCCAGAACTGGGATTGGAGCTATATTAATGCAGCATAAGAAGCCTGTTGCTTACTATAGTAAAGCCATTAGTCCTCGTAATTTAACCAAGTCAGCATATGAACATGAATTGATGGCTGTGGCATTAGCCATTCAGCACTGGAGGCCTTATCTGTTGGGGCAACAATTTACTGTTTTTTCTTATAAAAAAAGCCTCAAACAGCTGCTGCAACAACGTATTACCACAGGGAGACAACAAAATTGGTTAGCCAAGCTTTTGTGCTACAATTTTGAAATAGTTTATAAACCCAGAGCTGAAAATCGAGGGGCAGATGCCCTTTCACAAAGTAGAGACCATGTGGAGTTGAACAATATGGTTTATATCCCTGTTTGGCTTGATTGCCAAGAATTAATTACAGAGGTCCAAGAAAACGAGAAATTTAAGAAGATAATTGAAGAAGTGCAGAGGGAAAATGAAGATAGACCCTATTTGGGATTTTCCTATAAACAAGGGGTGTTGTTTTACAAAATAGAGTGGTCATTACAGAGATTCTTAGAAGAGTTTTATGCTACTCCTATGGGTGGGCATTCCGGGTACTATCGAACTTACAGACTTGCTACAGCGAATTTCTATTGGAAGGGAATGAAAGGTGATATTCAGAGGTTCGTCCAAGCTTGTGATGTTTGCCACACTGCTGCCCCGGGCGGTCTGATTCAACCTCTACCAGTTCTTGACAAAATCTGGGAAGATGTGAGCCTTGATTTTATTGCAAGATTGCCTAGATCCAAAGGCCATGAAGCTATCATGGTAGTAGTGAATAGATTGAGCAAATACTGCCATTGTGTGGCACTCAAGCACCCCTATACAGCCAAAGCACTTGCTGAAATTTTTGTTAAGGAAGTAGTGAGACTCCATGGCATACCAAATTCGGTTAAAAGTGATCGTAACGCGCTGTTTATGAGTTCGTTCTGGCAGGACTTCTTTAAGATGTAGGGAACAAAATTAAAAATGAGCACAGCTTATCATCAGCAGACGGATGAACAGACTGAAGTAACAAATAGATGTATTGAAACCTACTTAAGGTGTTTCATCTCAGATCAACCCAGAGATTAGGTAACATGGCTGCCATGGGCAGAATATTGGTTTAGCACCAATTATCACGAGTCTACAAGAACGACACCTTTCGAAGCCGTTTATGGACAACCACCACCAAAGATTGTGCAAGTCTTTCAAGGAGAGGTGAGAGTGGAATCAGTCCAAAGAGATCACTTTGACCAAGATGAGGCTCTGCGTCAGTTAAAGAGCCAGTTGCTGAGAGCTCAGGATAGAATGAGAACTCAAGCAAATAAGCATCGGAAAGAAAGGAAGTTTGAAGTGGGAGATATGGTTTTCTTGAAGCTAAAACAGCACCACCAGAAATCAATAACAAGCAGAATCAGTCCTAAGCTTAGTGCCAAGTATTATGGGCCATTTGAGATTAAGGAGAAAATAGGAGAAGTTGCATATAAGCTCAATTTGCCTCCAACCTCGAAGATTCATCTTGTATTCCACGTATCATTGCTGAAGAAGGTTGTGGGAGATTATAAAGTGAAAAATGAATTACCTACAAGACTTGAAGATGACCGAGTTGGTATGATTGAACCTCAAATTATTTTAGCCGTGTGTAACATTACAAAGAGAGGAGAAACACTGAGGCAAGTAGGAGTGCAGTGGAAGGGAAAAACTGTTGAAGAGGCTATGTGGGAAGATGAGGTGGTTATCCGGAGTCAATTTCTAGAGTTAAGCCTTGAGGACAAGGCTTTATTTCAAGGGGGAAGTGTTGATACAGACCCAAATGCATATGGGCCTAATGCGTCATTGATCCAAGAAGCTAATACACGTAGATGGGGAAGGATGTATAAGAGGAAGAAAACTAGGAAAAGTGACGTGGCAAGCTATGAGAAATAGGTTGGTTAGATGAGAGAGAAAAAGGGGGGATCTCCATTTTATTTAGGATCAGGTGTGGGGACCAAGGAGAGCATTCTGTTTTGTTGATTGTTTTGAGTAGAGGGCCATTGTGGTTGCTCTAAAGGAGCTTACACTCTGGGCAGTAGGATTTCTCATCCTTCTGTATTTCTTGCTTTCAATCAAATAGAATTAATTTGTTATTTCTTCACATTTGTTGTGCATTCTCATTTTTATTGCGTTGAGTTCCCTATTAGCTTGATTGTTATTTGTTGTATACTTCCTAAATTGGGGGTCGATATCTATCATAAATTGAAATTCTTTTGTTAAGTCTGGACACATCTTGGTATAGGTGGACTGTGGACAAATGGTTGTGCTTTAGAGGAAAGGTCTTTTTTTTTTTTTTTCCAAGTTATAGGATCTAGCTTTAAGTGTACTTCTCCAGGATAACAATAACATTTACTTCAATCTTTGAAGGGTTATACCTGAAGTATTCTATCAATTTGATAACTCATGCAGGCATCCGGAGCACATCTAAGCCAAGGTTCTCATTGCCATCAGTGTCACATAAATGTGAGCACATTGATCCTTCAGTCACAAATATTGAGAGCTTGCCTGAAAGTATGAAAGCTGTTGATCCTATTGATTCTAAAAATTTAGATGGAAATTATCTTGACAATGATGATGGTGGAATGGAAATAATGTCAGACACTGAGTCTGCTGAAACAGAACCTCTTGCAGCAGGATTTAATCTGCCCTCTGTGGCTGATCTTTTTGACAACCTCCTAGATAAGACTGATCTGGTGGGTAGAAATTTAGAAATGCTTTCCTTATTCTTTGACCTATCTATTTACATCTTTCCTGTATAAGATCTTTCTTGTCTTTATATGCCAGCGTCTACCACATGATTGTGAGGGAAGAGGAAAAAAAGTGCAGCTTTTTCAGAAGAGTGGTAGATCCCACTTGCAGGACACAGTTGCTGACAGTGAAGATTCCCCTGAGCCTGTGGATAGTGGGTCATCAAGTGACAATGAAGTAAATATGTGCTTCGGTTGCTTTTTTAGTTATTAGTTTATTGTCATAACTAACTCTACATCTACTTACTTTTACAGGTGAATGATCAGCATATCATAACTGCTTTCCCCAGAAAGAAAATGCAGACCATGGTAGAGCGATTTGATGAAGCTTTAGGGACTTCCGCTGTTATAGCCGAAGGGATTCATGTTGGAGCACTTAATTCATTAAGGTATAAAATAATAGTAGTAGTTTCCTGGTATTTTTATGCGATTAAAATATGGATATGAATTTGAATTATTTTAAAATTCAGTGCCTGGTTATCTCACCAAATTGTGCAGAGCTGGATTTTTTGGAAAACTAGAGCAGGTGATGCAGAAAGAGAAAGAAAGAGACGTGTACTTCTGGACAAATTTACAAGCTGGAGCTAGGCCAGATAGTAAAACTTTTGCTTTTACTCTCCCTGCCGTTTCCATTATTGTCTAAGTAAAACACCATTGGAGACTACTTTCGTTGCTAAAACAGTCATTCAGTAGTAGTTTTTCATGTTTTTCTTCATTAGGGGCAGAGGGGGATGCATAAAGTACAAATGAAGCAGATTTTACATTTTATTTTACTCACAGATGTGTATATAATATATGTATTTAACTTCAAATGAAAAAATTTTCAGGTGAACTTGGCTGCATTGATGTAAAAATCATTTCAAGGTCCATGAATGGAAAGCTGACTGTTTGTCATTGCTCATTTGCCAAGTCCACGGAGGTGAAGTTTTAAAATTAGCAAAGTTTAATTGAAATTCTATCTTCACTTATTGCTTATTGCGTATTATTGCCACTGAAATTTTATGCTTTATAATCCAGAAAAGGTTTGGTTGTTGAAAAATGCACAACCAATCTGACAATAGAGGATTGCATTTATAGGAATTTTACATTGAAAATCATTTTTTTAAAATTCTTGTCAACTTTTATTTTATAAATTTAGCAATTAAAAATGAAAGTCTTTTTAAAATTTCAAATAATTAAATGAATACCCGATTGTCAATCTATTTTATTTGTTTAAAGAATAAAGGAAAAATAAAGATGAGAATGACAGCCTTACTGCTTTCCTGATTTTTTTTTTTTTTATTAGTATGTATGGTGGGAAAACAATTCTGCCATGTCTTATGGCTGGTCTGAAGCGTAATGGAGGAGGTTGTGTTGAGGCCTGAGTAGCCAACATAAAACTTGTTAAAATCCATACATGGATCACTAGTGACAGTATTGTTGTTGATGTATGGTGGGAAAACCCCTAACACTGACACGTGAGTTTTCTATTATAGTCAAAATTATGATTGTGTTACATGGTTACAAATAAGCAAGGTGGAGAATCGTCATGGGCTCTTGTATAAGCCTATATTAGCTGTTGATTCTATTTGATTTATATTGAAATTCTTGTACTCCTAATATCAGATGATCATTTTTTGCTTGGAATGGAACAAGCACCTGCATTTAAGATACCCATCACCCAATATTTAGTGTTCGTTAAAAACTGATGAAAGGTGATAGGTTGCTGTTGCAGAATGTTGTGTTACAAGATTACTCTGAAGGAATGGGGATTGGTGACAGCGAAAGCGGTAAAAAAACCATTATCTTTAGTTCAAGAGTTTGCAACACTGCTAACCTTGAAGTTGGGAACTTGATCCGTGTTCACCCTCCATGGTAAGATTGTAAAGTTGATCTTTTTTATGCATATTCAGCTGAGCCAAATATTATTTGCAGCTTGCCACATACTGCAAGTTTTGTTATTGTTTCTTTATCTTTTTTGGTTTTGATTCTTGGACAGGAAAGAAGTTCAAGTGGGGAATGATAATATTATTTTGTGCACTTATTTCTCTGAAATTTTATCCCCAGTTTGATTCACAATTTTCAGAGATGATTGCCAGCTGTTAGTATGTTCATTTGAGTTTCTTAAAAACCAACAAAATTGATGCAAACCATTGTTTTGTAGTGGATAGAATATGCTGATGTTCGGCTTCTTAGGAACTATGAAAAGGAAGCTCTGCTTTTTCATTACTGATGACTCAAGGGACCATAGAATTATCGTATTATTAGTGTCAAAGTACATGGTGGAGAGAAATTAGAGACGGAATCGGAACATGTGTTGTTATTGATATCTGGTATTGATACAATTATAAGGTACTTGTAAACAAGGCTTAAGCTAATGGTATTAAGTTACAGGGGCGGTAGACTAACTGACTTCTAAAACTTCTAACTACTTCATAGCTGATACAGCTGTTACTGCTAGCTAAGGGTGGTGATGACACCCATACAGGCACTGAACACAACTAACTATACATATTCACTAACGTGACAACCCCTCTTCCTTAACCTCAGGGAGGGTGTGTGATAAGAATAAAAATATGAATCATATTTCTATTCTTATCAGTGAGAGTGAAGTCCGATCACAACTCTCAGCTTGTTATGAAGAGCCAGGAACCCTGGAAGGTGATAGTGCTCTCGTAAGAGCATCGGTATATATAAGGCTGGCAAAAAAATCCAGTTATACAAGTTTAATATATAACTAATCTTAAACCGGTTTTAAAAAATGTTGCTTGTTAGTGTAAACATGAGTATTCTGTACCTTTTTTAGATTAACAATTATGATTTCTTTAATATCTTAAAAATTAGAGAGTTTTAATGTCTTTTTTAATTAAATTATTGACCTCACTATCTATTAATATAAAATTAACGGGGTGATGTGTAAAAGAGGGTATTAAACTCTTTTAATTATAAAGGGTACAATAAATTTTATTTTAAAAAATTAAATGTATATTAAACTGACTTTTTTTATTCACTATATTTTTTTAACTAGTTTAATATTTTAAATTCACTTTCTAAAATTATATTTTTATTATTATTATTTATCTAAATCCACATATATGGAGGCATTATCTCATGCTCTTACTTATTAAACCTCCACATGTGTTATATTAGTTTACAAAATTTTTCATACCTATATTTTAGGACTAATATTTTTTTATTAATTTTAGACTATATTTGGGAGTTAAGTTTAGGAGAGGGAAGAAGGGAGAGATTAGGAGGTGTTAACTCTTGTTTGCGAGTTACTTAATTAGGAGAAAAAAGTTTTGGAGTTTTTCTATGAGTTTTTTTAGGGAGTCTCTCTCTCTATTTGGCATTTAAGAGAAAGTGAAGGAAGTGCTCTTTGAAACTCCTAAATAGAACCCAACAACAATTGCTAAATTGAAACTTCAAAAGTCACCCCAAAATACAACATTTGACAAGTTTAGAGAATTAAGCAAGATTGATAAGAAGATGTTGTATATTTATAAAGCGAAAAACACTTCAAAAGCATAGAGTTTAAGCAAAATCATGTCCACAGCTACTTCAATCTCCAACTCCAAAGAAGAACCTCACTACAGAGAGGAGAGTATAGGGTGGGGGTTGGTGGGTGGGTTAAAGGGGAGGGGTTGGGGGTAGAGTTGGAGTTAGTGTTGGAGTAAAAGGAAAAGGTGTGGGATAGGCACTACACCAAAATGGAGATATGAGAGCAGTTACATTTTAAATTAGAGAGCATTTAGAACTACTCTAAAATCTTGCAATATCTGATGTCTTATATTTAAGAGAGCGGTTAAACAACCGCTCTCAAAAGTTAAGATTGGAGAGCAGTTTTACGCGAAACCACTCTTTAAAGTATAAATTTAGATTATGAATTTGAAATTTGAAATTGATTTTTTTTTCTTAGTTTTATGCTGCAAAGTAAAATTAATTTATTATTACGTTTAAATCAAAATTTAGAATTAATTTTTTTGTGAGTTTTCTTCATTTTTATCACAAATAAAAATTGAATCTTGAGTTTATACGTTTGGTGTTAATCAAACAATCCACATTTGTATGAACCAAACAAGAAAAAAATAAATTAGTAAAATGATTTTTAACATTAATTGAGAGAAAAAAGAAAGAAAGAGAGAATGAATGAGAAAAAGAAAAAAAGAAAGAATGAAGAAGTATCTACAGATGTGAAAAAAAATCAATTTGTTAGTGCAGAAAATATGAAAAGAGCAGGTTAACAAAGAATGAAGAGATACTTACAGATATAAAAAAAAAAAACTAATTGTTAGTGCAGAGAAGAAGATGAAAAAAGTAGGCTAACAAAGAATGAAGAGATACTTACAGATGTGGAAAAAGAAACCAATTTATTAGTAAGAGAAGACGAAAAGAGCATGCTAACAGAAAAAGATGAAGAGAACATAAGAGAGCAGAGAAGACAAACAGAATTTACAATAAAAGAGACCAACTTTGTTACCTAAGAAGAAGAAATGCATTGAGTGTGTTTCATTTATAAACAACTTTAATGACTTTAGAGAGCGGTTCTTTATTAACCACTCTCTAATGTGTGACTATAGAGAGCGGTTTTTTATTAACCGTTCTCTAAATATATAGTTACAAAGTGGTTTTTACGAAAATTATAAGAATTAAATGACATAAGATGCTACGTGGGAACGTTAGGAGTCAATTCAACATTTAACATAAAAGAATTGACGACACAATAAATACTAACTCTTAACTTCTGAACATTTTAAGAATTAAATTATAACAAAAACTTATAAAAATTGTCATAGAAATTAAAAATATAATTAAGTTATATTTTTTTAATTGAATTTTTTTATATTGTGTAGATAAAATTATCTAAAATTTTGACATGTGTCAGTACCTTTTAACTTTTGTCTTGTAAATACACAAAACTATTTTTTTAAAAATCAGTTTTGTCTCTTTGACACGGGAAACTTCTTTTAAAAAAATTATAAAAAATAAGTTATACACCTATTGTGAAGTGGTAAAAAAAAATTTAAATAGAAAAATAATTACTTTTTGAATTATTTTAATAATTAATTATTAAAAAATAAATAAGTCTAAAAAATATTATAATATGATATTTTTATTTTTATTATTATTTAATATTATTCATATTTATTTTTATAAGCATTAAATTAAATTTTTATCATCAACTTTGTTTATTCAAAATTAGTTAAAATAAATAATAAGTATTTTGTAAAAACTTATGTAGAGTATAATATAATTAATAAAGATTATTAAATTTTTTAAAATGCATTAGTTTAATGCAATAAGACAGTATAAAAAATTAGTTTTGCCTTAAAATTAAATTTAAAAAAGAATTAAAACAAACTTAACAATTTAAAATTAGTTTCAACAATTTTAAATTTTAAAATTAGTTTTACACCAATTTTTAAAAAGAATAAAATATATTAATTTAAATTTAAATTTATATAATTAGTTTGTGTGGGAAATATACTATCAAAATAGAGAATATGAATTTAATTTTAATATATTAAAAAATTATATTATTAATTGATTAAAATATATGCAAATATAATTTTATATTAATTATCATAAAAATTAATTATTTTTTAATATACTAATTTAGTAATAGTATAACATATATTTATAGTATCTTACCAAATTTTAAATCGATTTTAAACTATATTTAAATTTTAAAATAAGTTTTAAATTGATTTTATAAAATATAAAATAAAATAATTTAAAATTTAAATTATATAATTAAATTTAAAATAGATTTAAACTGGTTATGTATAAATTTAATTTATAACTGATCTATTAGGTATATATATTTAATAATTAAATTGTAGAGAATATATATTTTTTATTAAATAAATTTAGAATACAACAGTATTTTACCTCGTTACGACTCTAAATTTTCATGTTTCTAATTCTTCATCATCAGCTTTGACTTTTTCAAGCGTTGTGCAATTACAGTATACCTTTATTGAGTAGACATCCAAATTTCCATGTGTCTATTCATTTTCTTATCACTTTCTTTTTAAATTATTTCTTTTCATTTTCTTTTTCAAAGTGTAAGGATAACATGTCTATAGGTTTATTTTATTAATTTAAAATTTTATTTGAACAAAATAGGCATATTTGATAAATGAGCTAATTTTAGGAGCTAGGTCTTTTTGGAAGTAGCTTGCAGTGTTTTTTAAAATGTTATGTTTAAACTTATAAACTCTTAGCTTTTTTTTTTTCATTTTAATTTTCGTTATCTTATTATAATTTTTATCCTTTTTTCTCACAAACCCCTCTCACACTCTGTCCTTGGATTATTTTAAAAAAATTCCATTATTTGTTTTAATTATAAAAAGTACTTGATTTTTAAAATAATATTTAAAATAATGCCGTGTAATTCATGTTATTGACATCCGGTAATGGGATTTTACTTGGTGGTGGTTATTCCAATCATAAATTGTTATATGACTAAGAATAATTAATTTTTGTAATATTTAATATATAAATTATATTTGTGATGTATTTTAATTTATTGATAATGTAAAAATATTTACACTTATAATACATTATAATTAAACTCTATTTTTAATTCAATCAGCTAATTAAAATTAAAATATTAATGTATTTTTTTCATTTTTAAAGTAAAATATTTGGTTTCTTTTGGAGATAGAAATGTGGTCAATTAGTTGGCTTTCAATTAACTGTTTTAAAATTTAATTAACTTATCTATTAATTTTTTCAAATATATCCTATTTATTTGAAGGTTTTTAAATGTGTCAAGGTTTTATTCAATTTTTAGAAGTTGGACACCAAAAATGCTTTGCACTTGCATTTGTCTACATTTTAATTTTAATATATAAATTCTTTATTTGAATCATTAAAAACTTAAATTATATAAACTACTGTATATTATTTTTATTTTGACTTATTTTTTAGTTTTCTATACAAGTATTTTGAATATAAACCGTAAATATAAAAGAATGAAGATATGTAACAAAAAAGTTATGCTTGTTTCACCTTTATAACTTGGTCAAAAACTATAGTTAATTAAAAAGTCTCTTTTAATAATTTAAAGTTCTTTTGAGTCTTTTTCAACCTCTCTTACCAAGAGTCATACAATCCACCTTTTTTACACTTTACTAGCAGTTTTAAAGATTTTTTCTTGCATATGATCAAACCGCCTTAGACATTTGATAAAATGGTTGAGTAAAATATAATAGTAGATAATATAACACATGACAAAATAGTTGACTAATAAGATAATACAAATTGAAAACTAGAAATAAAAAAAAATAAAAATAGGTTTAATATAATAAAAAAAATTTGCTTACCTTTCTAATTTTTATGTTGTTTTGCTATCGAGGCTATGACAGAGAAAAAACTAAAAATGACAAATAAAAATGAG